GCGCCGGGGGAGGGACGGGGACGGGGGGCCAGGGGGGACAAAGGGGACATGAGCGCGGCAAGGGCGGAGGTAAGGCTGGACCCCCCCTGCCAACACCCTGAGGCCCCCAAGGTCCTCGGTGGCACGAGGGCGGGGACAGGCCTGGTTGAAGCGTGGCCATGCGGCTGGATGTCACCCCTGGGGGGGGACGGGTCTATGTCACCATGCGACACCACAACGGGACTGGACGTCTGTCACCCCTGGGGACACCACGACGGGGACAGAGGTATGTGACCGTGCGACACTGTGACAGGGACAGGGGTCTGTCACCCCCAGGGACAGGGGACACCACAATGGAGACAGAGGTATGTCACCCTGTGACACCATGACAGGGGTCTGTCACCCCTGGGTTGCCCTGGTGGGGACAGCGTTACGTCCCCCGTAACACCCCAATAGGAACAGAGAGCTGTCACTGGGGGACGCCTTTGTATTCCTTGAAGCACAATAAGGTGGATGCACAGGAAAGCAGAAGACCATGGTTAGGGAAAGGGGTCTGTCACCCCTGTGACACCCCAACGGGAACGGGATGTCGTCCTGTAACACCCTGACAGGGCACAGGCGTCTGTCACCCTGTGACAGCTTGGTGGGGACAGGGGTCTGTCAATGCCGTGACACCTTGAAGGGGACAGTATTATGTCACCCCTGGGGACACCCCAAAAGGGACAGGGGTATGTCACCCCTAGCACACTCTGGCAGGGACAGAGTATGTCACCTCTGTGACACCATGATGGTGGACAGGGGGTCTGTCACCCCTGGGGACACCTTGGTGGGGACAGGGTTATGTCACCCTGTGACACTCCAGTGGGGACAAGGGTCTGTCACAATGTGCCACCCCCATGGGGATGGGGTCTGTCACACCCCATCAGGGACAGGGGTCTGGCACCCCAGGAGGGGGCTGGAGAGTGTGACACCCCCCAGCTGTGCCAAATGAGGCACAAGAGTGCCCCGAGCATGATGACGGTTACAGGGCTGGGGAGGGGGGGGAAGGTTTATTTTGGCTCTTCCCCCCTCCTTGTTGGGCCGCGTCCCACCCGCGGCGGAGTCACCGTCACCGCCGAACTATGACAAACATCTGCCTGAGG